TTTTTTGTCCTGTTTATATTTCGTATTATATCTATTTGTGTAATATTGTTTGTGCCATGTATTTAGTTTCACTTTAGAACAGTCATTAAGAATAAACTTTGTTTCTAGCTTTTTTAATTTAATTTCTCGGTTTTAATTGTCAGATATTCTTGTATATATGTTATTTAAGTCCATAATATAAGTATTCTTTTTCATGATTTCCGGAATGTATGAATGGTAGTTAATCGTTTTATTATCATTAAGGATTTTTTATATGTTATAAAAGCGAATTTATCTAAGTTATTTATTATAGTTATATCTAAGTAATTAATTTGTCCATTTTCCCCTTCTTCTATATCAAAGAAGAAGAGAAAATGGACAATATTGTAATTTTTTTCGTTCAACACTGAAGAGTTAGGAACTTAAACGAACCGAAATGCATTTGTAGTCCAATTTACAAAATAAAGCTGTTTCTAACCAGAAAGCTGTGAGATCGTCTAACAAACTTGTTTTTTGGATTAAACAGACGTTATATATAGAAATCCCTTATGTTCATTCTGACGCGGGATTAATTGATTCCCCCTAAGTGTCGGCCAACTTACAAAGGACCTCTGGCTTTAAACTGGAACGTTGTCTGCAAATGGATGTTTGACAGTAGATTGACTGAAAATTTCATGAAAATCCAATCGTTGGGATCACTTCGAATAGAATAAATATTAAAATTTGAATCGGGGAAGTCGAAAATAACATTAATCGATCTCGGGAACCGTGTAAATCTTGCACTTAGAGTAAATTCGAGTTAAGAAAATTCAAGTTTCGTATTAGAAAATTAAACTAAATTCATAATTTTTTAAAGATTGAAACAAAAAGGATTATTGTTTTAGTTTTCATCTTTACCTAGTAGGTCAAAGGACAAACAAATAGATCAATAGCAGATCAAACTATGGATTGCGACATATTTTGCCGTATAAAGCACCAACCTACTGCTCTGGGAGACTGGGGTTCATTGTGATTCTAAGGAATTTCGAGCCTGGCCGTACCCATGATGGATATGATAAAAGATCTTCTTAGAGTCTCTCAGAGACAGACGAATAGTCGAAGCGATGGGGTCAGCCTAATTCTCTAAGGGACCCGAAATATAATCCGTGCTAGCAAACCCAGGAATTTTCATGGGCAATCTGTACTGCATATGTCGCGTTTCGTCTTTCACTATCAGACTTCAGTTTCCAATAATATCGACTTATGCCTTAAGCTCCTCAACTTTAGGGGCACTTTGTCAATCGCGTTGAATTATAAACCTTAAAGTAAAACATAAACTTTTTATTTCATGCAAATTCATTTTATTTACTGAAAAAGATTTTATCTATTCTACAATATTTATGATAAACACATATTCCTAAATGTAAAGCAATTTAAAACTTTTTTATTTATTTAAATTTAATAAATGCATATATACATTTATATGCAAAATATATAAAGGAATAAAACTATATCTTTAAAACGTTAATATTAGATAAAACAGCTTAATAATGATATAAGCAAGATTAATATGTATTATAATAAATGAGTACTTAACATTAACAGACAGAAAGCTCTATTCATACCAACTTTGTATCTTATATACATAAAATACAAGTCGACTTTTGATGATAGCGAATAAACGAAAACTGATGACATGCATATCATTTTTGCAGTTTGTTTAAAAATTCAAAAACTAAAATTAATCTTAACATCGAAATTATTTCTTTTAGTAAAGATGATGATGAGTACACGTTTAATTATAACAAAGATGAGTAGCCGACAAAACAACATTATCTTTAACAGTCATTGGAGTCTTCATCCAAGCGAAGAGATTTCCTTCTCTCATACTTCCTNAGTAAAGATGATGATGAGTACACGTTTAATTATAACAAAGATGAGTAGCCGACAAAACAACATTGTCTTTAACAGTCATTGGAGTCTTCATCCAAGCGAAGAGATTTCCTTCTATCATACTTCCTTTGCAGCTTCCAATATCTCGAATTTGCTCCAGGCTCAGTTGTTCATCCCAAAAATGAACCTCGGCTATATCTCCGTGATAAGATTGATACAGCTGATACTTAGAATCTGGAGCGTCTTGATCTTGACCGATGACCAGTGTGCCACCCGATGGTACCTCTGTGCTTGGAAAATCATTATAGGTTTTCAAATGCTCACATTCTTGTCCGTTTTGATAAAGATGAATAGTTTTCGTTGGAGCGAACCAAGTTGCGCACAAATGATACCATTGTCCCTGTTTCCAAGGTAAAGCACATTGCAAATCTGACCAACCAGTTTGGATCCGGAAGAGCACTATGTAGTCTGCATCACGTCGCTTGAGACAAATGTATATAGCTTCGTCATGCCTAGAAGTGGCGTATGATATAATTGTCAATTCATTATCATTTAATGGGTAAGGTTTCAACCAAGAACACATGGTGAATTGCCAAAGCGAAGGAAAAAAATTCTCCGCTTTAATTCGAGGAAAATTCGAAGAATTTGAAGGGCTTAAATACGCTTTTACCATAAATCCCGTTGTAAAACTAATCTTGCATATTGCAATAAGTAAAAAAATCGTTAAAGGAGACATTTCGTAAAACTTAAGAAAAATGCACCAAAAACTTCTCTCTTGTCCTCAAGGAAGTTACAACCGTTGGTTTTTCCACCGAACTGAAAGATATCTTCGTATCAAGACTTATAAACAACGACCAGTTCATTTATTTTGGATGGGAGCCAATAGATACAATCGCCACAGTTTTGTTGATTTTACTTCCTTTCCAATTAATTTTTATTCTATACTATAATTTACTGATAACTTAACGGTTCATAACTTTCTAATAATTACACAGATTTTTCTCTTTATTGTAAATATTAAATTAAATTATTAGAAATTACCAGAGAATATAACAGTTTTTTCTTTTATCATTTTAAATTTTTATTCGCTCTTATATTTTTGTGATAATTTCTAAAGAAAATATATTGCAATTTTTATTACTTAATTTTTAATGAGTTAATTTTTTTACTCATTTAATTTTCTATAGAACATAATTTATATTTTATAGAATAAAATATGAATTGTGGAAACAAATAGTTTTTAAAATTAGCCTATTCTTTTTACTTTCATTTTAGTATAAATTATATATCTAATCATTATATAACAGTCATTTAATTCAGTGTGTTATAATATGACATATTATCTTAAATTCTTATTATATTTCTAGTAATTACACTGTTAGAAATATAATGAGAATTTGGAAAATTTAAGTGAAGTCAAGAAGTCAATTAAAGAAAATTATATTACGGATAATCGAGGAAAGGTCGAACATAAAATCGAACTCCTGATGTCAGGATTTCTTCTGGTGTGAAAGTTCCTCATCATCATCGCCTACCCGAGCTAACCCATGACAGATGTGTCAAAACACCCTGATTTATGTTCTGCGGGCTGTAATAATGTAAAAATTATCAAAACTATAATGAGATGGTCAGGGCCGTGCCGTGCTATGATGCAGAGATGCGGCCGCATCAGGCGGCACCGTGAGGGGGCGGCATAAAAAACATTTGAAGGGTAGAATTTCAAAGACTAGCATCATACTTAGAAAATCTACCGCACGGTCCTGGAGATGGGGATTAATAGGTGCACATTCTTTAGGTAAAATTTTAAATAATTTTGCAATTATATAAAATGAAAGTTTCATTTTTGTTTTTTTTATGAAAGAATTTTAATCATTTAGCTTGTTTAGTTATTTTCCTTGAAGTAATTGGTTTTAGTTTATCAGAAATGTTATCGGTATCGTGTTTAAAACAGAAATGGCAATTAATTTTAAGTAAAGTGTAGATAAACGATTAAAATTCCTTTCCCGTCTCAAATATAGTGAAATTTATTTTTGTTCTACATTTACACAAAGTATTGCAATTAATGTTAAATCTCATCAATTGCAAACAATTGATCAACTGTTAAGCTTACTGTTAGCCTGTAAAATAATCTGTAATATTTCGAAATTTATTTTAATCTGAGGGTTTATGAATGTTCAAATGGGAAATACGCATTACATTTTGTATTAATTAAATTTCATCAACGATATGCTTTTTTATTATTGGCAAAAGTAGTAGTGTGCGCCTATATTCAAATCTACGTAAAAAAGAAGGCAATTGATGGAACGTGTGCAAATTTTTCAATTAATAATAAAAATCAATTTGTGTATTGTGTGTGCAGTGTTGGCTTTATTATAACTTGCAGCTATATATTTCATGCCTCCTTTTATGTACGAAGATCGGGGGCAGAAACTGGTTTTAACCTCCGATCCACATTCTTTAAGATTTCTACTTTTACACTTCATATCCATTGCCTTCGTCACTAGTTTATGTCGGTGTACGTAAAACACGAGTCATAAAGCACTTTATAACGCTTGTTTTAATATTGAATTGAATAATTTACATATTGCAATATGAAATTATTACATTTTCTGGATTAATAACACAATATCAGAAACAATACACACACGCGGCGACATTCCGCAAAACTCGAAATGTTTTCATCATACCGCAAAAATACAGAGTAAAAAGTAAACAAGTCATTTCTATTGTATTTCTATGTGGTAGGATTCAAAAATTCGAGGAGGGCTTATAGTTCCTTCTTTTGAATAGTTTAAAACACCGACGCACTATCACCTTCAAACTAATTCTCTTGGTCCACGATACATGGTTTTCTAGCGCTGATACAGCTTGTTGGAGCTTCACTGTAAGCTTTCTTTTCAACTACAGTCGACCCCCCTATAACACTGTTGATGATTCCGTTATATATGAATTCCATCTTGTATGAATCACTTAGATTTTAAAAATACGTGCGCCGGGCTGTAAACGGCTCACGTAGGCTATTTGTAAAATTAAGTGACTCGTAGAACATGGAATTCATATAAAACGAAATTATCAACAGTGTTATAGGGGGGTCGACTTGAAGATGTTTCCTGCATGCTGATTTTACCTCATTTGATAACTGAAAACGGCCCGAGGTCGTTTCTATATTTTTCAGTCATCGTGTCTTTCATGTTTTACTTTTTCCGCATCATTAATTAATAACTCATTTCTTACTAAGTAGAAGAAACATTATTTAAAACGAATAGTCGTAATATTTTTATGCACAAATTGCTTTTTGTAATTGTATTTTTTGAGAATTTTTCCACTAAAGTTAAAAACGTATTTTTAAAATGTGCTGGCAGACTTCGGTTTAATGTGATTTCATTTTTCATGCCATTGTTTTATTACAAAACTTTTGTACTTTTTAAAATTATATTTTACTAGTAAAACACGGGTCGAAATATTATAAGTTATTTTGACCAATTATGGTCGTTTAAACAACAGCGTAACACATTCTTTTATTAAACACGAGAATAGTGCTTAATGTTTCGTTGTCACTTTGGCTACTGTCGTTGTTTTATGCATTTTAACCGAAGTGGAAGAACGAATCTCGAATGTTGTCGAAGAATCCGTCCGTAAATTGGGATGGAAAGTCAAGTCCAGTTGATTAAGTCTTAGCCGGGTGGCTGTGTCACATTCGGTGGCATAGACGAAATCCGTGCAAGAAGGCCTCGGCAGAAAAAAGGTTAAGTACATTTTTTTGAATGTTTGTGGAAAGAAAAGAAAATAATCATTCTTATGACAGCTCTCAATATATGCTACAAACAATGCGAATGGAGACTCTTCATTGATTCCTCCAAGGTGAGCCTTAAAGCTATTTTGTTACTGTTGTGTAACAAAAGCTTTCTATTCATATTGGCCATGAAAAAATCATACAAAAGCATGAAGCAACTTTTTGCAAAAATAAATTATCAATAATATAAATGGAAGGTGTGTAGTGATTTCAAAGTTATAGCATTATTACTTACACGTCAGCTGAGGTATGCGAAGTACTGTTGTTTTCTCTGTGAGAGGGATAGCAGAGACCGAGTAACAGATTTCAAAAGGAGAGACTGACCATAAAGGAAATCCCTCGAACCTGGATCAAAAAATGTTATTTCTGAACTGTTAGTAAAACGCAGTTCGATCATACTGCCATCGTTGCATATAAAATTAGAACTTATGGAAAAACTTTGTCAAAATCACGGATCGAAATGGCCCAGAATTTAGTTTTTTAGCGAGACATTTCCAAACATTAGTCAGGCAAAAGTTAGAGAGTATATTTGTAGGTCCATAGATTTCCAAGCCAATTCTCAAAAATATGCACTTTGATAGCGTACTAATAGGTGCTGGAAAAGAAGCTTGGAATGCTTTCAGGATGGTGGTAAACAATTTTTTTGGATACCACGAGGCTTCTAATTACAAACAAGAAATTACAAATTACAAATAACACGCTGTCGTGTTATGAAAAATGGGATGCAACATGTCATTGAAAATGCACAAATGAACTTTTTGCATCCTCACATTGACTTTTCCCTGAAAACTGTGGATCTGTCAGTGACAAACATGGGGAGCATTTTCACCAAGACATTGCTTGTATGGAAAAGTGATACCAAGGGAAATAGAGTCTGGCAATGTTAGCAGACTACTGCTGGAACATTACATGTGAAACGCTTGCAGATTCAAAAAAGTCTGTAAATAAGTGTCATACATGCGAGTGATGTTCTGGGTATTTTATGCTTCCACTGTTTATTTAGATTTTATGTATCAAAATGTTCTGATGGTTTTTGTGTTCCAACTCTAATGAAAATTACATTATGTGTATGTATTCAGATGTATATTATGCAATTTATTAAACGCTGATATACCTTGTAAACTTGAGCCAATTCTGATTTTTTATAACCATTTTTAAATTAGCCAAGCCGCAATCATTAAGAAACAGCACGTTTTGTTTCCGAAGGAAACAAAAAGTGTTTATTTGTAGACCTGTGTAGTTTATTTCTCAAATTGCGAACACAAGAAAATGATTGAAGCAAAATTTATAAATTAATTCATTAAAAGAAATAAAATTGATTACGTATTTTTAATTCCAATTTTTACGTAATTCGAATATCGTTGACGCGTCTTTTAACGTTTGTTCGAAATACGTCACACGTGACGATTCGCAGTTCGATTGTGTTTCTGCTTGGAGTGGGATGTGCTGTTTTTTGCTGTTTGCGGACTTTTTTAAAGAAGATTAAAGATTTTTGAGGTAAGTCTTACTCCATCTTGACCCTAGACGTAAGAATATATTTAATATTAAAGAGGTTGCGGCCGACGTTTTCATCGCGAAAACGGGTACGTCGGACGTTCAGCTCCACCTTCCTGTAAGCCTAGAAGTTTGGCAATGGTGTTTGGATAGTCAGTGGAATCATGCTCGACATTCCAAACACTATTGTCAAACTTCTAAGCTTACAAGAAGGCGGCGCTGAACGTCCGACGTACACGTTTTCGCGATGAAAACGTCGGCCGCAACCTCTCTAATACTTGGAGAATCGGACCCAGAAGACATCTCGGCACATCGTTCGATGGTCAGCCGTTTTCTTTTTCGATTCGAATGTTTTAAATTTAAAAAGGCATTTGTGGTGAGCATTTTCAGCTCTTTAGGCGTCTTGCTTTATTAATTGAAGCTTTCGTTTTCACTGGACTAATTGCAAATTTTCTTTTTTTTACAGGATGAAAAGGTTAGTGCGGTTTTGGAGCAGTTCCGGCGGAGGGAGGGAATTCCTCGGACGGCGCGAAACGAGTCTTTTGGACTCGTACCGCGTCCGAAGAGACGGTGGAAGAACGGGGGCTCGAGGAGCGATAGGCAGCGGGCGAAGAAGACCTTCCCCAAGTGCGCGTGGCGTGGCATCCTCCCGGAGTCGGGATCATGCGACGTTACACCCTGGATCCAGTGCACTTGGCCAAGGTCTTCGGGGGTCATCCGGCCACAGACCTCGCTGTGAAGGATGTAGAAAGTGACGGCTCGTCCGAAGTGACAGTTTCTGGTTAGTCGCGTTCTGCCCATTCGTCCGCGACGGCGACGCCACCGCCTTGCCGAAGAGGAGTCGGAGGAGAGAGCCGTCGAAGTTGAGGGACCGTGCTGTCCGTGATTTTGTTGCTGCGGTTCCCTTGGCCTAGGCGATCCTCTTCGATTTCCTCTTCTTCACCCGGATGCGACATTTTTACCGGATTGACACTTTTCACCCGGACTCGACACCTTTTCCCGGACGTGACCCACGGACTTGTCTCCCGAACGTGGCACTCGGTCGACGACAACGGATTGACTCCTGATTGTGACCCTCCGGACGCGACGCGTTTCTTCACCAGACACGACATTCGGCTCATCTTTCTTCCCAAACAGCTGTTACGAGGATTGAGCTTCCGGTTAGGAAACGTTAGGTTAGGCTAGGCTAAGCCAGGTCAGGTCGTTCGCTCTTCTCATAACACTGTTCGGGAAGAAAGGCTGTCTGATAAAGGTAATAATGTTGACCTTAGATAATAAATGAATGAACTTCTCGCTTTCTCAGTCTTTGTGTTTTGTAGGAACATTTCGGAGGGAGAAGAATCTTCCTCCCCACCATTACAACGAAGAGAACGAAGTGGCCATTTATCGTACAAGTGAATATTTTCCGAAATATCCGATGGTAAGAACTCTTTCGTTTCATTTTTTAACACGTCTTATTCTCATATCGTAATTGACTATTTTTCTGTTTTTAAACATGCCGAAGATGCACAAACACACATACGCACAGACACAACATAACTGCATACGAAGATATACACCGTTTAACCTTTAATCGAATTCTCACACTCACGCACTTACACGTCAAGCGCCCCGTTCTGTGTAATTCGACACAATGAAACAACCGGAACACTCGCTTCCCACAAATCCAACCCCCGGGTCCTCGTCCCGGGAAGTGGAAACGCCAATTTTAAAGATTAAAAGACTTTAAATTGGCGGCCGAAGGGGCGCTGGTAATCACACATCTTGCATGGATTAAACGGAATTTCACACATTAGCATCAATAATCGGTTTTGTGATGAATTTTTCTGTTAAATTTAGTGTAATAAGAAATTACCTGCGCACAAATCTCGCTCGTATTTCAGTGTTGCTAACTCATTAAAAAATCTTTGTGCTTATTGTATATTTCATCATACTTGCAACATGGCAGCTAGTGGTGTTTCTGTTTTGTTTGTCGAGAACTGTCTTAATCTTTTTGCTTTCTTAAGATCCACGGAACGGGACTTGACACATCAGGTACAGACCACCCTGGGTTCTTCAACAGCCCGAATTCGATGCCAGAGCGGTAGACTGAAGTCTTAAATTAATCGTTTAAACACTTATTGTACACTAGACATTTGCGCACAAATTGTTTTTAGTTGGTCGGCAATGTATATCTCTCACATAATATATTATTTCTGTGAGAGATTGATATTCGATGTACACTACGCCATTTCGTTCACGACGCGTTTTAGGAACTTAAGTATGACATATATGGAGGACGTTCTGTATTTAATAATAACGGATAAAATTTTATCCAATAATCTGGTGTCTTATGTCAGAAGTCCCGGTAGTGACTCTGACGGCTACTAAAAAAGTCACTAACTGATAATGCATACAGGAATCAGTGTTTCCGATTTTTCCGCTCCCAAACACCTATGGTAATTTCGAATATCTCATCTCGTTCGAAGTAAAATTATTTTCTTAGGTAGTGTGCAAAATTTCAAGATTTTGTATAAAGCAGTTGCTGCCATGTAAGCATTCAAACAGTGCAAAAATTCGCAAAAAAAGCTGTATTGTCCTCTCGTTTTTCTTCATCTGGCACTGCAGACGCTCGTAGAGAGAAACCACTGGGTCCAGAAAGCTCAAATTTTAAACTTAATCCTTTCTTGTTATCGGCGTAACTATAGGTCTATAAGTCAAAGTTCACGGGGGTTTCCCATGGAGCTAATTCAGTTTTACGGCTTCATTTTATGGTTATAAAGGGCATTTTATTCAAAATGTTACAAAAGCTCAAATTTATGCTAATTAAAACTTTTTATAACGATTTTACTAAATGACATTCAGTAACATTGTGATACCATTGTCACAATACTCAGCTAAAAATTTTAATCATCTTTTAATTAAAAAAAAATCATGTGGCTTCTGATCCAGACCAGCTCACATATAGTTATTTGGGGTCTCCTGTCCCTAAGCTTTCTCTATATGATCTGAATTTTAGTGGTCTTTGTCCCTGTACAGTACATCACACTTCTCCTAATAGCAATGAAGTGATGTTGGTCATCTAACTCCATTCTTCAGAAAATTTTAAATTAAAAATCATGACTTCTTGTAGTTAATCTGGGTCTCCCTCCCCTAAGCTAGTCTCAATTTTCATCTATCTAACTTTGTTCAAGATTAACAAAGGGCAGATAGAAGAAAGTGGGTATGTCCAGTGGTGATATTCGAAATATTTAACAAAGGGTTTGCTAACAGAAAATTTTTCCTTAACAATTTTTTTTTCGCTCAAATGGTGCATTAGCAACATTAACGCAAAAACTGACCTTAAGATACCCATATAAATAAAAAAGATGCATTCGCAAAATTAAGTCACTTAAAATTTAACATTGTTTATGCCAGAACTATATTTCTTTTGATAAATAATAAAAAAAAAGTGTTTAAAATGGTTTATTTTGTACATATTTTAATATTTTTTATTCAAAATATTTTGTAAACATAAAAATTGTTTCTTTTTAATCAGAAAAAGTCACAGGAAAAGCAGGTTTAACTGCTTTCCTTATGACTTTTTCTCAAGAAAAAACTTTTCTAAATCATTTATTTTATCATTAGGTATTATTATAATAATAGACAGATGCCATCGTCTCTTGAAATACAATATCTTTTTTATTTTGCAGTCGATAGCCGGACACGTGTACAGTAGCCATCTTGTATTTTCTCGCGCGCGTGGGATCTCTCGTATGACTGGACCTAGTTTCAAGAACTCTCTTGAGTCAATCCTGATTAAACCTCGTTTCAGTCGAGATTGAAACGGTTGGTGGAGGTTGCACCAAGGCGAACAGAGTATAAGGCTCTAGTTTAGTAGTGTTACAGAGTATAATACGTGTATTTTAATATATTTTTTAAAAGAAACAAAACCGCTGAGAAATGTTACGTGTGTTTAACAACGGGTTCGGAAAACTTTGAAAATGTTAACAGCGGGTTCGGCCGAACCTGTGCGAACCCACTGAATATCACCACTGGGTATGTCTAATTAATAAATATAAATTGTTAAAAAATATTTATCATTATGTATTGTTATATTTAAAATTTTTAAAAATAATTTTGGCATATTGGTGGATACAAAATGCTGTTCAAAAAGGAATTGAGTTCAATCTTCAACCTTATAAAAGAATTTCTGATCCTGATCAGAAATGTATATGTATTCCATATGTTGTCTGTTTAACTCTATGTTTGCTATATATATATATATATATATATATGTAATATATATGATACATGTATGAATTATTAAAATTTTATTGTTATGTTAACCCATTTATGTCAAATAGAATAACAAGATACAAATTTGCTATCAATGAACAATTTGGCATATGAGGCAGACAAAGACTTCTAATCTTAAAATTTCAAATAATTTTACATGTTAAGGAAAATATTAAATTAATATCTTAAACAATTTATATTATAAAAGTTTAATGTAAACAAATATACATTAATTGAAACTAACCACTGTTAATTTTTTAAATGAATATTCATATTAATGACAGAGCAGTATTATACAGTAATATCAGAGAGATGATGAATACCATTTTTATCAATCTTATTTACATGAAAACTTGAAAGAGAAACTATAAATCTGTCTTTAATCTCTTGAACGCATTTTTTTAGTAATGCCATACCTTCCTCTTCTGTCATATCTATAAATATAATTACAAATTTATTATATATATGTATAAACTGAAAATCCAGATTATGAAAATGAATTTATTCTGAAAGTTGTGAGATGACAAAATGAATAATAAATATAAAATAAATTAAAGAAAATATATTTAAGCAGTCTGTCAGTCAGAAAGCTGAATTATTGACTTTGTAAAGAAATTCAATGATTCAGTTTCACTGTAAAAAAAAAGCATCACTGTTTTAAATAATAGTAGGGGTCTTGCAACCTGTAGTTTTTTCACTTTTTCTGCAAAAAGCAGTGTAATTTAGCATCATCTGCAAATTTGCAAAAAGGAAAATTTGCAAAAAGGAAAATTTCATACTTGTTAGACAAACGTGATAGTTTCCTGTACAATAATGCATTTTGTACATTTCAGAATTACTTCAAAAATGCTTTAATATATCTACAGGTAGAAGGCATAAGTGTAGCAAACTGAGATGGCTGTACGATAATTTTAAGTGAAATTATCTATTAGATAGGCTTGCTTGAAGGGAATTACATAATCCATGGTCTGGTCTTTTGTCCCAGTCAGATCGGTCAGAGCCCCCTTGTTAATACGTTACTGTAACATGGAAAAAAGAATGAAATGTACAGTATTTATCCCATCTAGTTAATATATTATGTTCTCATCAAATGCTACTTTTTATCAAATTGACCCAACTGGGATAATATGGCGGACCATGACAATATATAGGCTTCTGCCATTTGAGTCCTAGATAAGGAATCTTTGCCGTCTTTTCTGAGTAATATAGACTTTAATATTCATTTGGTTTCTTAAATAAGATAAGACTAATTCTAAATAAAAAATGGTGATGCTGAATGACATAGCACTATCTGGTGAACAATTCCACTTTGAATATTATATTAATAAAATTAACAACATTACTATTAATATCAACAACATAACTATAACAAATAATCATAAATAATAAATATTACAATGTGTTATAAAGTACTGGCATCTGTCAAGAAAGACAGACAACAAATGAAGCTCTACAAACAAACACTTAATATTATTATTATTAATATAATAACTATTATTATTACTAGATATTTTCTTGAATAATATCAATAGAAATAACATCATCCCCAATAATTTCAAGATGCAGATATTTTAATTTTCTCTCATTAAGTTGGCAACATTGCTGCAAAACGATATCTTGACGTCAAGCTAGTAACGAATTCGAACTGCTGTGCACATTCTGTTTCACAAAGATGATTTATACAATAGACAAGTTTATGAAATGGAAATCAGACTCTAAAATTATTCCTGGTAGCAGCAATAACCACAATATTGCTAACTTTTCTGCTTCTGAAGGTGTTTCTTGCTCAGTATAAAGTGAAAGTGCCGATGTCCAGAAAAAGTTCAAAACAATCATCAGAGATTATTTTTCTATCCGCTTTATTGATAAGTAACTGGCAACAACAATACAAATGGATGCAGGCTGTTACTTCAACAAATACAGCAGTCATTAAAATCAAATGCAACTGGTGTGCAAAAGCTAAAGGAAAAAACTTGCTGACAGATCCTGAAGATAAGTATTTAATTTAAATTAGATATATGGTCACCTTATACTAAGCATGGTGCATTCTTCGTACATTAGGTACAGTAGAGTGTCGTTTATCCGACCGAATCAATTGGGGACTGAGGTTGTTCGGATAACTTATTTTTCAGATGACTGATTATGTACAAAAAAATATATTAACTTATCCCATGTTAAAATTTTTTTCTCCGTTGAGTGTCGCTTCGCATTGAAGTTTTGTCGATGTTAAGCCTAACGTAAACTTTTTAAAATAATAATCGTGGCTATTGTATCGTTAAAAATTATTTCTTTATTTTTTACAAACAAAATAAATATATTGAAAAATATAAAAACCCAAAAAAATATACTTTAGAAGTTAATCTATTATCAAAAACCTTTGATTCAGCATGACACACAGTCCTCAGAAAAACACCACACAAAAATGCCAGTGCTGCCAGCTAAAACACACACACCAACAAAAAAAGTATTGGAGTAGCCCAAAATATAGCCAAACATTGCAATGCCACAGCACAGAGCATAGAGTTTGAAACTTTTGAGACTCAAGTAATATATAAAATTGACTACCTGAAATCACCGCAAAATATAAATGGCCCACATGTAAAGAGTTCTTAGACAAAGTTCCTGGAGAAGCATCAACCAAGGATCTCTGTCTCTCAGGTGTCCACCAATTAATGATCACAGATGACATAGTTTCTGTTGATCGTGAATGTGGTTTTAGTGAAATGAATCTCATTAAAACCTCAATATGCAATAGACTAGATCTAATAAATGTTAGCAATTTGATGAATATATCAATCAATGGTCCACCTCAAAGAAAATTTGATTTCAAAGCTGCCTTTACTGTATGATGCTAGAAAAAACAGAGATGCTTTCAATTGTGATCTTAGTATGACTATGAGTAAATTATGTAATTTCTAATTTTGTACTGGCTGATATCAAAATGAAATTACAATTTTTGTTATGTTGAAAGCTTTTTACATTACTTGTTTTCCTACAAAATTTTAAATTTTGCTAGTTTTCAAGACAACATTAGCAAAAAACTACAGATTTAAAAAAGCTAGCAAGATCTCTATAATAGTCATAATTGATTAAAACATATCTTACTTTAATTTGATAAGCCATTTTTACCTGATCTGTAATAGCGATCCAGAATACTCAGATTAAAAAAAGATCCATATCCATGAGCTCCATAAGGTAATTTTACCATAGCTGCAAGAAAATCTATATAATAGAGATCTGGTCCAGTGCTATCAAATCCTGCCAACAGCAGATTTACACGATACGGAGACTGCAAAAATAAATATGAAAGTTACAAAAATTAAAAAATCCCGGATAAAATATATTTATAATAACTATACGAGTACAATCTACAGTGTCTGATACTTTCTACTAATTTTACAGTATCTAATATAAATCTTTATTTTACAATTATCCAATGTCACAGGAACTTTTTTTAAACAATTCGCGTAAGTGTAAGTGGAGACAAGCCTAAAAAGAAAGATCAGCTACACTAGAGTCAATTATGTTTTGATGACTATAAATGGACATTTAAAAGACTTCAAAAATTTTTGTATTTAATCTTCAATATTGTAAATAAAAGTTATTTAANAAGCAAAAAACTAATAAATGTGGAAAACTGCAACAACTGCTTCTGATCACAGGTTAAATTTGTGAAAATAAACTCAAATAAAGTGACAATTTTTGTGATAACTCAGGATGTATTTTCTTCATAATTGAACTTTAGACTATTTACAAAAATTAAATTGAATTTTCGAGTCTATCTTTTAATCCCTTATACATCACCACAGAAGTAACAGTTTTAAATTGCTTTGAAGAAAACACTTCTTAAACAAAGGTAAAAAATCAGTAGAAAACTCCACAATGTTAAAAGAGATCAAGTGCCAGCCTTTTCTTGTAGGTTCTCACACTTTTACATTAAAAACATAAAGAATTCTTTTCACCATAGATAGACTCGAAAATTTAATTTAATTTTTGTAAATAGTCTAAACTTCAATTATGAAGAAAATACATCCTGAGTTATCATGAAAATTGTAACTATATGCAAATAACGAAGATATCTCGTATCTACCACTAGAGGGCCAGAAGCAGTTTAAAAGTGGATAAAAATAATATGGTGAGAAGAATTCTTTGTTTTTAATGTAAAAGTGTGAGAACCTACAAGAAAACGCTGGCACTTGATCTCTTTTAACATTGTGGAGTTTTCTACTGATTTTTTACCTTTGTTTAAGAAGTGTTTTCTTCAAAGCAATTTAAAACTGTTACTTCTGTGGTGATGTATAAGGGATTAAAAGATAGACTCGAAAATTCAATTTAATTTTTGTAAATAGTCTAAAGTTCAATTATGAAGAAAATACATCCTGAGTTATCACAAAAATTGTCACTTTATTTGAGTTTATTTTCACAAATTTAACCTGTGATCAGAAGCAGTTGTTGCAGTTTTCCACATTTATTAGTTTTTTGCTTATTTTTTTTATCACCATATTGAGGTACTTAGCTATGATCCATGATATTCTTGTGTTACTTGCCATTTGTCTATGTAAAAATTTTGGTCAAAAAAGTTTTTTCTGCTTCTTTTTAGGCCCTCAAAAACTGCTGCAGAAAATTATCACGTTATGCATGCAATCATGTAAAATTTTCCTTATTGTCACAACTGCTGCAAGAGAAAATATAATGTCACAGGTGTTTATCGGGTAAATGTGACATGACGACATGCACAATCTGCACTTGCTACAATTTTGAATGCTTGTCTCTCTCAGGTTTATATGACCTCCCACAATTTTAATGTTTTCACAGGTTTATTCCATGCCTAAAAAAATACATAAAAATCATTTTCTGGTCCTTCTGAGAAACACTTCAGCCCTCTTGTTATTTATTTGTTTCATATTAGCACATGCTATTGCAAAGTTTGAAGCCCTGTTAAGGAACTAAACAATGTATAGTATGATGTCAAAATTTTGTATGTGCTGAGAAGATACTTTACAAGCATCAAATTCAAGGAACAGTAATCGTGTGCAATGTAATTACTTGTGAAAAATCAGAAAATTATTGCCTAATGAATGTGATCACAGCTTACAAATCTTAAATAACTTACTCTACTTCGAAGGAAATCAGCCAAGTATCTTCTAGTAAAGTTAGCAGCAGCTGAAGGTGATAATTCATAACCTAAAATAAAAAAATTGTTAATCTAAAATCATTACACAAAAAATAGTGTCATGTTTTATTGGTATCTATAATATAAATTGTTTATCTTAACTATTAATATAACACATTATCCAACATTCATCCTTAATATATCATTCTGGCACTGCTACACATTTTGTGCACTTTTGTTCTCCCTCAAAACAAATTTATTTTGATGCTGAACAATTAAATATTTTGAAATTTTAATTAGTTGACCACTAAATTTAACTAAATTAATTTAAATTTAATAAAGAATACTATAGTGGTTGATCTATAGAGCATGATTTACAATCATTTATATGCCAATGAAGATAGATTTGTTGCTCAAAAACTACAACAGGCTTCAATTTATATGCAAGTGCTTCCACACAAATGTCTGGAATTTTTTTATACATTAGTCACAGAAACAATTCATAAAAACATTTAATATGGAATCTGTGGCAAATTTTCATTTTTTGACATAAAAATAAGATTTAAATTATATTTCAGTGTAAAATTATGTTTAAAAAGTTCCATTTATAGCAAAATAAAGTAAATATAAAGAATTAAATCATCAATATTTACATTATTTCACTATTATGGTGGACTTTTATAGCTAGCAATTCTTTTTGCAAATGTAAATTATTTTTATATCAAAAATATAAGAATTATCACCAGTTTCATATTTAAATGCCTTCAAAAATTTCTTCTGCAATCAATAATTATGAGAAAATTTCAGGAAATGTAGCACGGACAACAATAAATATAATCAAATAATCTAGTCCAACTTTTACTGATCATCCATTCTAAAATCTATTTGATTGAAAATTATTCAAACAATAATTTGAAATCACTTAAGAATAACTTCACTTCTTGTTACCTGACTATATTTGAAGTCTATTGATACATTTTGTATAAATTACAATTCTATAGCAAAAGATAACACTTAGATTTACAAATGTTTCTGTAGATGCTATTTTATAATATTAAATACAGGTTCAAATAATTCATATAGAGACTACACTTAATTCCATATTTACTCGCATATAAGACGAGGTTTTATTAATATTTTACTGCTTCAATAACCTAGGTCATCCTATACGCACAAGCGAAGGATTTTTCCGTTTTTGCAATAATTTTCGTGAACCATGTATTCACATTTTTTACTGAATGCTCATCCTCTGGTGTTTAAAAACAAAAGTATTTTATCTGAATTGTTTCATTGTTCTTGTGTATTGTCAGGAGTAAAGACGAATAGCAATAGGAAAAGCAAAGCTTTTGAATTGAATTCCAAAATCACACAGCAGCCCGATATAAGTTTGAATCCATTCTCATGTGAAAACAGATGATTATTCAGAAATCAGAATTTGTAGAAACTCATAAGTGCAATCTACAAAGAGTGGATTCGACTGTTAAGTATTGGCAAATAGATTTCCAATTGTCCAGCTTTACATGAACAAATTATGTACAGTAGAGTGTCGTTTATCCAAATCAATTGGGGACTGGGGTGGTTCGGATAACTTATTTTTCGGATAACGAATCATGTACGAAAAAATATATTAATTTATCCTGTGTTGAAATTTCTCTCCGTTGCGTGTCGCTTCGCGTTGAATTTTCGTCGATGTTAAGCCTAACGAAGACTATTGTATCATTAANCACTTAGATTTACAAATGTTTCTGTAGATGCTATTTTATAATATTAAATACAGGCTCAGATAATTCATATAGAGACTACACTTAATTCCATATTTACTCGCATATAAGACGAGGTTTTATTAATATTTTACTGCTTCAATAACCTAGGTCATCCTATAAGCAAGAGCGAAGGATTTTGTGTTTATGCAATAATTTTTGTGAACCATGTATTCACATTTTTTACTGAATGCTCATCCTCTGGTGTTTAAAAACAAAAGTATTTTATCTGAATTGTTTCAATCGTTCTTGTGTATTGTCAGGAGTAAAGATGAATAGCAATAGGAAAAGCAAAGCTTTTGAATTGAATTCCAAAATCACACTGCAGCCCGATATAAGTTTTAATCCATTCTCAGATGAAAACAGATGATTATTCAGAAATCAGAATTTGGAGAAACTCATAAGTGTAATCTATGGAGAGTGGATTCGACTGTTAAGTATTGGCAAAAAAGGTTTCCAATTGTCTAGCTTTACATGAACAAATTATGTAATCAATTTTACAAGATTTTTCCTTAAAGTTTAAAATGCGAGTAATTTTTGCGAGACAATGTGTGCAATTACATGCATTTGATAATATTTTATTTGTGATCAAACAAAATAAAATTAGAATTATATTAATAAACTTAACAGTGGCATGCGGTGACATTTGATGATAGGGAAGCTATGACGGCCCTAGATAAAATCATTGGAAGTGTTATACAATATTTTGGCATGTAGCATCCACCAGCTAAACCGCAAGAGGTTGGTGCTCTGTAAAGTGCATGCAGGAATGCCTGTAATCTGGTTGCTTTACACCATTCAAATATTTTTGCTGTGGAATCTGTCCAATATTCGAAATTATGGTGCTTACATTGGCACTACGCATATATGAATTTATATTTGAATATACAATAGCAATCTTGTCATTTTTTTCACATAGTATAGAAATTTGTAATAATATACATAATGTGGTTATAACAGAATATTAATTTTAATTAATTCAAAGTATGTTAAAATATGAGAATAATCANAGAAGGTAGCTTTCTTTTTAACAAAGTATTGTCATCATCTCAGCTTTTTTGCTGATCGTAACCATAAGTATCAGCAACATTTTTCATATTTTTTATTTTTATCATAAAAATTTTTTATGGACAACAAAATAAAAATATGTTATTAATCAAAAATTTGTTCTAGTGGATTGCATTTGTTTAGTTGCGTATCAAGTGACTTTTTCCAGAATTCATGTTTGAATACCAAGATACCACCATATTTCATTCGTCATCATTCATAGGTAAGTGATACACATGATTAAAAAGTTTAACAACACCTAAAAATGTTTAAATAAAGTTAACTAAATGCAAAGATTAATCTATAAAAAGAAAACACAACGAAAATCGTAAGGACTAAAGTCTAAAAGCAATGACGGCCTGGTTGATAGGAAAGTTAATGCAATTTTTTTCTTCCTTGTCCTATTGGGTTTTGTTAAAATAAACTCAAAAAGCACAAAATAATTTGAAAAAAAGAACGAAAGCTGCCCTCTGAAACAATTTGCATTTTGAAATTTTAATGCTTTAGAATCCCAACTGTTTATTGCACGTGTCAGACTTCTACCTAGTAAGTCCAACACGTGTTTTTTCTTATTTTTAAATTGCAATTGGTTTTTATCCTGAGGAAGAGCATTAAAATGACCGAAAATGTTAGAAAAAGTAAAATTTGCACTGCATTTAAAGGTAAGAGTGGTTGTTTTTGTAGTTTATTGACTAAACAAATAAAAATTTATAANTTAAAAATTGTAGAAAGCAGGTTTTTGTAATGTCTAATTAAAATGAAATAAAATTTTGTCATTGTAATTGCTTATAATAAACAAGCACACATATTAAAAGTATGTTAATTTTTTTATTTAAAACATATTCACTTATTGAAATATTACTTTAAGACTGTTTCATGAATTTAAATTTTAAAAATAATAATAATTATATGTGTATGTATTTTTTAAATAGTTGCTTGCTTTCATGTTTACACATCCTATAAGTGTGCATGTGTTCGTATTTAGATGTTTGAAGAGGGTTGTATGGAGTTAGATGGGCTGGTTTCAGTTAGGCCGCTTCTTTCGCACCAGGCATTTCTTTTCAGAGGAGAAAACAATAGTGAGTGTATTTATAAAAAGTTTCCTTTAGTTGCATGTTATAATATGTATTACAATTTAAGATTTGATTATATGTACGCATGTATAATACATATTATACATAATACTTTTTTCAAATAACTCTCCCACAAATACTGTACTTTTAGTGTAAAATAAGATTTTTTTTTTTTTAAATTTTCAGATAAGTACCCTTAAAATGCCTAATAATTGAAAGAAAGTCTTACTATAAAACAGAAATTAATGCTAATTGAAAAATTTGGAAAAGGTGAATCTACATTGAAGCTTTCTGAAGAATATGGAGATGGTATCCAAATGGTTTGCGATATAATTAAACAAAACAGAAAATTGGAGGAGTTTACAAGAGATTGTGACAGTAATGCAGGTCCTTCAAATCGAAAAACCATGAAAATGTCATTATATGAAAATTTGTATTCAGCCATGCTTAAATGGTTTAAACCAGTGTTTCTCAACGGGGGCTATATCGCCCCCATGTGGGTGTTTTTTCCATGTTGAGGGGACGATTTGTAACAATTTATATTTGGGGGGGGGGCGAAAAACAATTTTCTGGGCGATATAGTAAAACATTATATTAAGAATAATTAGATATTTTATTCATTATATCGTGCAATAATTAAACAAATAACATTATACTAGTCAATAGTCTATTCAATGTAGTACGAATTTGGCGTTAGCCTTGGCCCTCGGCATCGGAATTTTGAAGTGAAGGGGGCGATACTACGTAACGGTTTTATTGAAGGGGGCGATACTAAGTAACGGTTTTATTGAAGGGGGCGACGATTCGTTAGAGGTTGAGAAACACTGGTTTAAACAAAAATTATCAGAAGGAATACCTATTAACGGTCCAATGTGTACACATAAAGTTAAAGTTTTCCATGATGCATTAGAGTTAAATGGCAACTTCAATGTCTCATCTGGATGGCTTACCAGATTTAAGCAATGACATGGTATTTGGGAACTTATGATGCAAGGAGAGCGCCTCAGTGGAGATGTTGAAGCCGCTGATAAATTCTGCATCGAATTTGAAAAATATTTACAATCAGAAGAATTGCAACTCAATCAAATATATAATGCTGATGAGACAGGCTTATACTGAAAATGTGTGCCTAGTAAGACACTTGCATTGTCTAAAAAAAAAAAAAACCACCCCAGGTCATAAATCATCAAAAGAACGTATCACAATCACATGTTGCGGCAACGCTTCTGGAACACATAAAATGAAACTTTTGGTGATTGGGAAAGTAAAAAAACCAAGACCATTTAAAGGAACAGTAATAAGAAATCTTCCTGTTAATAATTACAACCAGAATGGAGCATGGATGAATAAAAGGATCTTTGAAGATTGGTCCAAAACTAAATGGGTTCCAGAAGTGAGAGATTTTTTTGAAAAGTAAGGGATTACCACAGAAAGCAGTGCTGTTATTAGATAATGCTCCATCTCATCCAAATGAAAGCATATTGAAAACGGACAATGGCTTTATGGTTGCAAAATTTTTACCAGCTAATGTTACATCTTTAATTCAACCCATGGATCAAGGGATTATCTCATTAATGAAACAACATTATCACAATGACCTTATTAAAAGCCTTTATAATGAAGGTGATGATTTGATTAAATTTTGGAAAAAAATGACAATACTGGATGCAATACATGGTGTAATTCAATCTTGGAACAAAATAAAGCTAATAACACTCGTTCATTCGTGGAGGAAAATTCTACCAAATGTAGAAGGCGACTTTTTGGATTCTATTGAGCCCGAGACAAGTGAAATAGTATCTGAAATAAGTGGGTTAAGTGCAAATTCACATGGCTTTGAATATGTTGATAGAGAAAATAATGAGGAGTGGTTAGAACATGATTCATGTGATGGAGGTTTTCAAATAATAAGTGACGCCAACATTATTTCCAATATCATTCAACCAGAAGAGCAAGAGAATGAAGCTGAGAGTGGAGAAGAAGAAATTATCAATCGCATTAGTCACAACACAGCCCTGAATTCTGTTGACATTTTGTTGGAGTGGATCGACAAATGGGGATTTCAAATATAATGACATAATAGCTCTTAAAAAATTTGAACTGATATTAAAAAATCATTAAAAGATTCCTGCAAACAAACCAAAATCACAGATTTTCTTAATAATAATGAACATTAAACATGTTCAAATAATTGTCTGCCTTAGAAATGTATAATATGTTGTATTTTAGAAATAAACAATTATAGTTCGGATTATCCATGCCACCTCTCCCCACCATTAGCAGGATAATCGGGAATTTACTGTAATTATGTTATCTATATATATAAAAATGAATGTATGTGTGTCTGTGTGTGTGTCCTTCATGCATTACCACACCGTTTATCCGATTGCCATGAAACTTTGGGAAGTTTTTTAATACACTCCCGCGAAGTACATTTATCCTACGATAGATGGCGCGCGTTTACACGAGCATTCGCGNTTTATTGAAAAATATAAAAACAATAAAAAATTATACTTCAGACGTTAATTTAGTATAAAAAATGTAAAATATTTGAGTAGCCCGAGAAATAGCCAAAGATTGCAGCGCCGCAGCACTGGCGAAAATTTAAATTTGCCGACTGGAATTCTTTCGGATAGCGGACGTTTCGGATAACCAGCTTTCAGATAAACGATGCTCTACTGTAATTGATTTTACAAGATTTTTCTTTAAAGTTTAAAATGCCAGTAATTTTTGCAAGACAATATGTGCAATACATACATTTGAAAATATTTTATTTGTGATCAAACAAAATAAAATTAGAATTATATTAATAAACCTAACAGTGGCATGCGGTGACATTTGATGATAGGAAAGCTATGACGGCCTTGGATAACTTCATTGGAAGCGTTATACAATATTTTGGCATATAGCATCCACCAGCTAAACCACGAGAGGTTGGTGCTCTGTGAAGTGCATTCAGGAGTGCCTGTAATCTGGCTGCTTTACACCATTCAAATATTTTTGCTGTGGAATCTGTCCAATATTCGAAAACATGGTGCTTACATTGGCACTATGCATATATGAATTTATATTTGAATATACAATAGCAATCTTGTCATTTTTGCACATAGTATAGAAATTTGTAATAATATACATAATGTGGTTATAACAGAATATTAATTTTAATTAATTCAAAGTATGTTAAAATATGAGAATAATCACACAATATGTATTTATATTTTAGAAAATACAAGGGAAGCGGTGCTTCCACAGCTTTCATGGATGGCACACCTTGAAATCTAATTTTCTTTATTTTGATCTTTAAAGTCACACCTCGTCCTACATGCGAGGTTGTCTTATATGCGAGTAAATATGGTATATTATTAAAACATCACATTTCTTACCATTTCGAAGTTTATACAATTGAATATTCTTTGCAATAAATTCAGCAAACTGAACTGTATCACCTGGTTCCCCACTTACAGCCATTAATAAGTGATCACTCAAAGGATATTGTTTATTGTCATCTGAAAAAGGTTAAAACACAATAAAAATTTAGTAATTATATATTTTACAAAGAAATCTTATCAAAAGTATTAATGAAATGAAGTATATTAATATAAGTATAATAAAAATACAAAAATATATATTACAACATATTTTTATCTTTACATGAGAGAGACCAATGACTGTTTCTTAAGATAATCAAACTTATTTATCAAAAATATTTTTGGCTCTTCTTGCCTGTTTAATGAAGATTTGATAAGACCACTTATGGTTTCTGTTGGTATACTATGTTACTGCAATTGTGTTTATAAATATAAATTTTTCATTCCTATCTTTAGTCAGAGTTGTTAGATATACTGGTCCTTGCACTTAAGTACATATAATGCCTCATGTTGCCAATAGCTGGTGTGAGAGTCCCTGTTAGACAAGAATGTTCTTGTATAATATATCTGTTTAATAAATAGGTAATGGTAAAATAAGTAAATATATTTGCATTTTACTGTTTTGTTTTATTGCATATGTATGATAATATAATTAGGAAAACCATAGGAAAATCCTCTGATACATTTAAATAGCCATAGAAATTTATCCAGACAAAGGCAATTTATTTTTTAATACATAAAGTGTGCTATACAATTTTACTTTATTTGGTATAATGAGAAATAGTATTTGGGATGAAATTGTTTTGTATTTTTGACACAAGAAATTACATTTCTTATGACACTCACATTGGATCTACATAGTTTGGTAATTTATATATTCTGCACTATCAAAAGTAGAATATGAACAAAGATTTATTGATGGCCTACTAACCTGTCCTTTATTTATATAGGTTTAAAATATCACTAACATGTCTTTCTTTTAGCCTCCATGTCATCATTAATCACTATCACTGTCAATATCTAATAATATTGTATGAACTCTTGCCACCCTACATTTACCTATTTTAGTTGGCAACCTCTAACTCATCATCCCCTAATCATATCTAAGTTATTATGTGTCTGTAAATATGTTGTCTAAATAGTTGGAATTTCCTCTGTTTCCTCTAACAGCCTATATTTGAAATCCAAGAACTAAATCTACTGGCTTTTAACCTCTCTAAGCTGTTCCTAACTTTTTTGGCTCAACTTTAATCTCTATCTCATTAATAAACACAATATAAACTGTGAATAACATATAACATATAGCTTTTTTTCTCACTGCAAACTACAATAATTCACCTAATATTAAAAAAAAAAAAAAAAACATGGGCTTAACCTTGATAAACTCCAATCCTAAATCCTTGATAAACACCCTAAATCCTAAATCTCTTTTTTTGTAACACTTTAAATCTATTCTATCTTAACTCATGGTTTAACATTTCCATAATTAAATGTATATAATTCTCATCATTCCCTTTTCCTCCTGATTTAGAGAGTTCTCAGGAATCCCAAAGACATCCCACATTAATAATGTACATACAAGCTTAACTATAAATCTTTTAACCATGTTTTCTTCCCCTTAACAAAAACTCTGAAAAGTATTTTAAAATGAACACAAATTGTACACAAAAAGCAAACAGTTTAATCAATTTAAAGTCAAAAATCGTGAAAGTGACAGTTAATACAAATATAAATATTAATGACATTTACGAATAAATAATGTTCATAACTGGATTAAAATAGTATTTATAAGCAGTCCTTTAAAAAAGACAAAAGAAATATTTAAGTTAAAAACTAGAAAATTTCATATATTAAAAGAATTTCAAATGTTTACAGCTGACTCTCCCTATGCTCCAGCTAAACTTAGGACTGTGTGTGATTGAAGCACTCGAAGTGGCAGAAATATTTATTAAACCAGAATAATAGCATTACAGCTATTGGCAGTGCAAGGACCAGTATATCTATCATCTCTGTTTTAACTAAAGAGGAATGTCAGATTGCTCTATTTATCAAAGCTCTATATATGCAAACAATTTGTAAGCTGTTGTATCAAATTATTTCCAAGGTATGAGATATTTATACAATTATAATGGGAACTAAATCAAAATGACTAAAACATATTAAAATGATAATGAAATATCTAATTACAATTCTTCCTTTTAAACAGGGAACTCAAACTAATACCTCACTAACTAAATCATTATGTGCTGAGAGAGAGAGTTTACATAATTATATTACCCAGATCAGTGGCCCCCAACCCCCAGGCCGCCCAAGGAACATTAAATTATTTCCATTTTATTTACTATGGTGTATTTCTCTCGAGTTTGTGCGACTTTTAACGAACGACAGAACAATGGAATAAACTGGTCATAAAAAACACACTTCGGGTGTCATTGTCTCCTACTACCCCCAGATGGAACTGTCTTGTTGCAAAGAAACAAGCCCAGTGTTCTCATTGATTTAGCATTGTAGTATGTTAATATGTTAAATCACATTATATTCATTCTTTGGTGTAACTGTATTTTATTTTGAAGGCATGTTTAAATACAATTAAATTAAAATTATTAAATTAAATCAATCTAAACTACAATCAATCAACGTTCCCCTCTCAGTGGGCTGTGGTGAAATTATCAAACGTTGACCGGTCCATGGCAATAAAAAGGTTGGGGACCGCTGACCTAGATGGCTTGCAGTCTTCCATGTGGCCACCTGACCCCAAAGACATTTTCAACCAAAAGCAACTATGGGTGAGTTTCGAGCAATTTATCGAAAAAACTAAAGCTCTTCTCCCTGACACTATTCAAATAAAAAAGTTAAAAAACAAGTCTACAACGCAACAACACAAGATGAAGAGACTGATGGAAATTCAACTGACAACAGTGAAACAGAGGAAGAGATAGATGAAGACAGCGAGACTTCAACAGAAGAAGAGGGTTCAAACACAGACTAATTAAAAATTATTGTGTTATTAATGCTAATTTGTATATTCAACTGTAACAAATTTCCAACATTTGAATCTCTAATGACTATTCTTTGTGTTGAGGTCATTGTTAATTAAATGCCGACTAAGGTTGTAATTAGTGTACATAATTTTCATAAAAACTGTATTGGTATATAGATGTAAATATGTTTAACGGCAGCTAATACCCTCCATTCTTAATTGTACAATGTTTGGTACACAAACAGGGTAAACGGCTCAATTCTTTCCTAAATACATTGTATAATATTTTTTATTGCTAAATTCATTGTTTAATTTAACAAAACCTTCATTTAATTAAGTTAACTCTTACGTAACCCATTTGGAATCATCAAAAATATTAAATGGTTAAACTTTTGCAACTGACGGAAATAAGCAATTTCATCAATTGTAATCCAGATATTCCTCTGGAAAAGGCAAAAGTAATACTAAATCTATGTAAAATTTTTATTGGAAAGTATGTATTTGCTGTATGGTTTAAAAATGCCATCTTGTCTTTAATGTCATTGCAAGTTGCAATGACACATGGAAATTGTTACTCTGCACTTTTGTATTATGTATATATTTGTCACTCTGTATTTTATACTTTTGTACATATGTTGTTTAAATAAATGCCGAAGCAGATGCCCCTGGGGTTCCATGGGGGTGCCATGGTACTCTCTTTTTCACACTGTCCTATCCTTTTATCTTTCATCTTCCATCTTTTTCTTACTTTACTAAACTCTTCTTTCAACTTCAAAACAGGGCTAAGTCTTCTGCTAAATAAGACAGCCCTACTTAACTTTCTTTGTTGAAGTCTTCCATGTGAGAAATGAGCTGATGTCTTGAGGAGCTTACACTGAACTATATGACAAGATACCAAAAGTCTGAACTTGCCTCNCTGTTGTATCAAATTATTTCCAAGGTATGAGATATTTATACAATTATAATGGGAACTAAATCAAAATGACTAAAACATATTAAAATGATAATGAAATATCTAATTACAATTCTTCCTTTTAAACAGGGAACTCAAACTAATACCTCACTAACTAAATCGTTATGTGCTGAGAGAGAGAGTTTACATAATTATATTACCTAGATGACTTGAAATCTTCCATGTGTGAGATGAGCTGATGTCTTGAGGAGCTTACACTGAACTATATGACAAGATACCATAAGTCTGAACTTGCCTCGTAAAAGGTCAAGAACTGAGCTAAGTTGAATTATACTTAAGTTGAAATGAGTTAGTTACTAGTTAGCAGATGTTTAGAGATGACCTATCAACTTTTATAAGAAATCTCCTCCAATCAAATCTTTTAAAATAAGCCCTCCACGTTTCCATATTGCATATAATGTTATATGCACTATGCTCTTTCAATGATATTTAAGAGGTAAACATACATAGAAAATTTGGAAATAAATCAAACTTTTGCCATGGTTTTATTATACAATATATAGAAACTTAAGCCCAGAGCAAACTAGTTGATACTGTTACTTTCAATGTGACATCAGAATAGATTTCTATTTTCCTTCAGCAATTTTGTAGCTTATGACATCACTTGTGGCATAGTTCTAAAGAACCAATAAACACTTCCTCTTACACTCTAGAAACTATTACTTAATAGAGTTTAATGATGAAATGACAAAAACAGCAATTACATTACAATATGTTATTTATAGTTTCATGCTACAACCTCTTGCAAGTATTTTTTTTATCAGAAAAGAATTAATTAATAAACAATGTATGCATTGCTAAAGATATTTTATACACATATGTATATTTTAATAGTTTAATGAAGTAATTAGGATGATAAGAGCATTATAATATGCATGATAATCAAAAACTTTGTCTTAAAATTGCAATCTTTAACTGAAGTAGGATAACTATTTCATAGCATATGAAAAATCCACAATGTTGGATCTAACAGTTGTTGAAGAAAGTGCCTGTTTTACATTGAAGAGTATGATGTAGAATGACACTGAATCAATGACTGCATGGTTGCAGACCAAACCTATGACTATAATATGAACTTAGTTCAATGTTATATCCTACCAGTTTATCATGAAATTGACTAGTTCATGTTTAGTCATGTAATTGCAAGATGGCCTCTGTTGTTGATTGAAATATGTATCCTTCAAC